CGATCGAGGAATCTCGAGCGCGGCAGGGCGGAATAGGAGAAGGAAAGTATGGCACTTCATATTTTGTCGCGAGGAAAGAAAGGGGAGGAAAAGCGAGAGAAATGAGGACGGAAGTCGATTTCTTTTATCTCCGACGGACCTCACGAGAGAGAGGGGCAGAATTTTTATTTCTGTCTACAGGCAGAAAAACAGTCACTTGCGAAAAAAAAAAAAAAAAAAANAAAAAAAAAAAAAAAAAGAAATAATACATTTCTTTGAATGGTACCAAAGAAATACTTCGTAAATTCAAGGAATAATTATTTCCCTCGAATTAACTCGAATAAATTGGATGCAACGTTTCCTCGGAATTATGACAATTTATTTGGGTTCATTTAAGTCAAATAATTATTCCTTGAATTTACAAAATATTTCTTCGGTACCATTCAAAGAAATTGTTTCGTTTTTTTTTTTTCTTGCTTCCATGGATTCCTTTTCTCAGGGTAGACCAGAGAACCACCTGTGGACTCTAGTTGGCCCGTAAGTAGTCCAATGTAGTCCAAAGTCGTGCAAAGTAGTCCAAACTTGTACAAAGTAGTACAAAGTAGTCCAAAATGGTCCCGCGAGAACTTGCCGGCTATTCTTTTTCGCTCCATCTCATTTCCCCTTCGTTTCCTCCATCATGTAGGAGTTTTTGCTATGAGAAATTGGCCAGAATTATTTCTCTCACCTTAATGGACTCTAAATAATATTAATTAACAATTTGGGCAATTTAAATAAGATTTCGGGCGCTCACTGTGATTAAAAAAACACTATTTACTGTCCGACATGTATTTATCTTTACGCCCCTGCGTAAAGAACGACATTCATGTACATAAGTGCAGTTTTTAAAAATTTATTTATGGCCAATTTTTATTGTAAATACTCCGATGTTCATCGGCCCGATTTTCTCGCACGAGATTCCCCACGAACTGAATTTCGAGACCGCCTTGAAATTCGAAAAACCACCCAAAAAGTATATACAAAAATCACGGAAACCCGATAACCGATTTTTAAGAATTAAAAAATATATGTCAATTTCAAAATCTCTGCATTTTCATATTACCGGACGTGCTTAGGGCTATTTTTCCACTTTCTTCCGAATTTCCGTGGCAGGGAATAAATTATGAACTAAATATTTACATACACTTTTACATAAATATACGAGTCTAATGAGGATTTTTATTGCATTCGGTGCTCACATATACACTGAGAAAAAAAACGTCGCGGGTAATTATTATTAACAATTATTATTAATAATCCAATGGTGAACGTCGATTCTCACCCTCCTCTCCCTCTTTCTGACTCTTTCTTTCTCTCATTGCGACCCTCCGTACACTTAAGACTCTCACAAAGATGGACGCACGACACGGAGATACTTTAAGAGAATATGTTAAGTGCCATGCTAAGAGATCGACGAAAAGTCTCCGTACGATCTATTTGTTTATTCATTAATAATGTTTTCTTACGACCCACGTAGCACGAATCGCTCGCAGAAACCCCTTGGCGAATTTTTGTCCACCCCGAAGACCCGTAGACATTTTCTGCACGTCTCACATTTGTCCTATTCGAGCCGGGTGCTATATGGGTGTAAAGTCATGAATAATTACAATTGACAGGTTGAATATTTATTTTGGATTTTGCCCCACTGTGCAAGAACCCCCAGCCCCCCGCCCCCCGCCCTCAACAAATTGTTTTCAAAGCCCCGGAAAATTGGCGTCGCCAACTTTGCCATGATTTTGAATTTTTTAAGGGAAACAAGAAATCAGGAATGAAAATTTTGTATACTACACTATGTTGTTGGAATTATTTTCTACTGTCTTGGATTTCTTTTTCTTTTTTTTCTTTTCTTCTTTTTCATTTGCATTGGAAACGGTAGAGTCGGGGAAATTGTTATGCTCGGTGAAAAACTAAAAGGTTTTCGCTGATTTTCGTGGCGGGAAAAATGGAGGAATTTGAAACTCCTTGAAGAGGGATTTTCATTTCAAGTGGCGGGGAAAATGTCATGTGTAAAAAGTCTAAATCGTCGAAATGTCAACGGAGGTTTGTTGAAGTTTATAACGCGAGGTTTTGTCAGGTCGGTATTCAAAATTCCGCGATATTTACTTTTAAGGATTTGGTTTTGCAGAATTTTTCAATGTTAGGTTACAATCCCAACATTTGCACCGAAGCGTACCGAAGAATCCCTCGATTGTATTTGTTTAACCTGAAAGTGTTACTTGGAATTTTCAGGATACCTATTTGAAATTTGACATAACTTTGTAGATCTTTCGATTAGAGAAATCAATGCAAAACATTGTCGGGAATTAAGTTGCACTCCGAGGAATTGTATACTGATTGTCAATCTTGGGAATCGCACGAAATTCTTTAAAATGGTACATCTTCCATTTTGGATCTTCTCGGTGAGCAAATTTGGTGAGAAATCGTCTCGAAATTGATTTTGAAAAGTTTTGTCGAACCGAGTGTTCATTAATTATTTATATCGCCGCCGAGTAATGCCATGCATTCCGTGGAGTTGCATTAAGATTTGCAATTTTTGTCGAAATTACACGATGGCGCAGTTGGCAATCCTGCACCCTACCTCCGTAGATGTTGCTTTTCGTCGGAATCCTTCGCGTAACTTTGAATTGAAATGAATTTCCACAGGAAAGAGAGGACAAATATTGCGTACACGGTGCGTGTAGTCATCGTGAGCATGCGAGACCGGAGAAGAAGTACCATTTCTACATAGATTTATTACCGCAAAGAGCGTCCGTACATTTGTTTGTGGCGTAGAAAAGTAGACCAAAAATGGCGGACGCTTCCGATCGAGATATTTCCTCAGAAATCACTTCGGACTATTTTCTCCAAGTTCTGTCTTCTCTGAAACAATGGAACATGATATTGCAACCCGCAACACATCTTTCAAAACAGTCAAATTTAATTAAAAAAAAAAAGAAAAGAATTAACGATCAAAAAATGAAGAAAAATTAATTTGGCGATAAAAACTTGGTTGATATTTAAAATTATATAAATTTATCCGAGATTCAAAACATGGGTGACTTGAAAATTATTCAAGACAGCGAAGGGAAATTTTGGGGGAAAGGACGTATTCAAAATTCATGCATTTCAAAACTGTTAATTTGTTTTTATTCAAGGAAATTAGCTAATACCGGTATGAACAAACATTCTGGGGAATGGTGAAATTTTTATTATCGGAGGAGAGAGCGGAAAATGCACCGAAGGTGGATTCTCGAGGTGGAATTCGTTCAGCAGCGATCGAAATTTTGGACATTTTAGGAATTTTAGAAATTTCTCATTCCCAAAACCGCCACAGCTGATCAGGACCAGCAAACGAGATTAAATCGTCATTAAATCAATGAAAAGAAATTTTCTAAGAATGCCCAGTTGGTAGTCCAGTATCAGTGTCGAAGTAATGTTAGTAGTTCCGTAATGACAATTGAAAGTAGGTACTAATTACGCCAGTAGTTCCGATAACATCGAATTTCGCGCCGAATTCTCCCTCGACCGATTTTCCAGATTTCCTGAAAATCTGCAAAAATGCCAGCTCCAAATTCGAAGGCATTTTCCAAAGTGAAATAAGTCCCGAGTCGAGGAGAGAATTTCTCGAGGAACGGCCGCAACAATTTCTTTTTATATTTTTCTTCCTTCATATTCCATTTTTTCCCAGCGACCGATCCTCGTTCGGCATTCGTTTTTCTTTTATCTTCCGCTATATTCCTCAAAAACCCTCCTCATATTTTTTTTTTTATTTCCATTCCTGGGCATATTTCAGGCTCGACTCTTTTTCATTCCCTCGCACCTTTCTCTAATTTTCGACTCTGCGTCTTATTCGTTGGCCAAAATCCTTTTTCTGCATGCACGTCAAGACAAATCTGCGACATTAAAGGCGCCTCAACATTCGGAAAAAAAAATTTCCCGAATTTTTAACTCAAGGTTTGAAATTTTGTCAAATATTTTCTCTTCCCTTGAGGTACACACCGAGGGAAGAAAAATTCATTGAACCTCGAAAATATTTCCTTGAACGGTGAAAAAGAGACATTTTGAATTCAAAGAATAATGGCATAATTACTCGACTTAAATAAATTGTCACAATTCCGGAGAAACGACGCGATTGATTTATTTGACTTTATTTGAGTCCATTAATTATTTTCTTGAATTTACTAAATATTTCTTTGGTTCAATGACAATTTCTGGTTTTACCGTGGATTACTTTAATGTCGCACTTTTGCACGACTGTCCCCATGTCGGAAATCTGTCACCTCGTGTCATCTCCAACTGCTGAGAATTCGAAAACTCGGTTTTCGAAAACCTCTTCAAAAAGACGAAGAAATCTGTACATACGCCAATTGCACGCTAAGTGTCTGCACACGCCTGTCCGTTTGCTTGGTCTACTTGTGCAGCTGCGCAATTGTCATGAGTACCTTGAAAGGAAAAAGTGTCTCATTTGCATGTGGATGTGAAATTTGCAAAATTTTCGATTAAGCACCGCGACGACCTCCGTCGCGGAGTTTGCAAGCTTAAGCTGTTATGCCGATCGAAAGTCGACGTCCAAAAGTTGAAGAAGAAAAAAAAAGAATCTGAGGACCTTCAAGTTTTTCTTGAAATAAGTTTGCCGAAGTTATTTTCGAATTTCCCCAAATTTCGACTTTTGACACGGCGGGTTATTCCCTTCCGTCCCATCGAATTGCAAGTTTCGAAATTTGCTGAAAGAACTTTTTGGATACCTCTCGTGAAAAACATTTCTTCATTTTTTATTTCTAATTATTCTGTAAAATAAATTAAGGCTCTTCGGATTCAGAATGTTTGTTTTTTCCCCGCTGGGGAAGTAACGAGATGGTTAAAAACTCCTCACGGTGGGTCAAAATAAGTGAATAACCCAAAAACGCAGCTAATTTCGAAAAGAAAGAGAGCGCCCTCTAATTTTAATTAAGAGGGTCGCTCGATGAATTATGCAAGAATTAATTACATTTCTCCGAATGCAGATCTCGGACTTGAACAGCCAGGTGAACGATCTCCGAGGTAAATTGTAAGTACCCCGAATAAATTTTTTACAGATATTTCTTACTAATTCCATCGATATTTACAACATCAAAATGAGAAGCAGAATTAAAAACATTCGAAATAAATAACCAGCCGAAAATTTGCTCTCTTAAATCCATAATTATACAATAGTCGAACGTCAACGAAAAAATCGACCGAACCAAATTAAATATTTTGTTAATTCAAAGAATTTTACTCAGATGAACTGGAATAAATTGTTCGCAACATTTCTTCGGAATTATGAGAGTTTAAGGTGATATGAATGAGTTAGCATATATATATATATATGTATATATATGTTACGGTGAAACACCGAAATCTGGAGAATGTCGACTTTCACCGGTGAATGTCAACATTCACATAGTCGCTCCGTGTATGTCCGAAATATTTGCTAAATACACCGGTAAATGTTGACATTCACCGGTGTGTGATTGTCGACACACACTGGAGAGGGTCCGAATGTACAACAATGTAATGAAATATTCGATCTTTCACCGACGTATTTGGTATTTGTTGACATTCACCGGTGAAAGTCGACATTCTCCAATTTCGGTAATTCACGGTAACATATATATAAGAAACGAAAATCAAGAGTCAGAACCTAGCTTCAATAATGTAGAATACATAATACGCCAGCTCATGTTACCACTTGAGTATCCAAAATGACATTCCCACCAAAAAGGGTATAGATGAATTTTAATTTATCGACCTCGATTGAGTTCCTCACCGCCTTTCATATCATCTTAATTGAGTTTATTTGGGACAAATTACTGCAATTGATAAAATACTTCTCTGGTTCGATGAAATCCTTTTTCTCAGTGTGCGCGCGAATTGACTTATGAGGATGGAAACTCGTAGGAAACGTCATTACAATTTCTTGAATTTTTGTAGCATGAAGCCGACCCTGAAGAAGGTCTCCAAGTACGAGAACAAGTTCGCCAAGCTCCAGAAGAAGGCTGCCGAGTTCAACTTCCGTAACCAGCTTAAGCAGGTCAAGAAGAAGGAGTTCACCCTTGAAGAGGAGGACAAGGAGGTAAAGACTTAGTTTTTCTGAGCGAAAGGAAGAGAAGAACAGCAATGATTTCGCGAGACTTCACTTCCGCTCGGCTCGACCAAAAAAAAAAACATTTTTTCTAGGCTTAATTTAAAAACAAAAGATATTCTCCAAAAATATACGCGTGACTTATCCCTTCTCATTTTGAAGATTCCGGGGAGTATTCATTTCCAGCTTCCATCTGTGAGGATAAAAAAAAAAGTCAAAAGATTCGTGAACGCCGAAATTTTCATACCGCCAGCGAAGGTGGCTTTGAATATTTGTTTATTTATTTTTGTCAAGAGACTCGTCGGTCTCTTTGTCTTTTTACATCTCGTACCCAGACGTTTCTTCCCCCCTAGGCCAAATGATTTTTTTCTATTTCTCTTCTTATCAGGTTTTACCGGAACAACTCTTTTTCGAAGAGTCGTTACTAGGATGTTTGCATCGGGCCGCCATTTTGGTCTCGACTTTTTCCGTCGTCTTCTTAACCCTTTCAGTCACACACGTTTCACCCTTTCCCGGGGATTTTTCTGTCCGTTGTGTCTACTCGATGATAAAATATCAGTAAAAAGTATTATCTCCATAATCATGGAATTATTATTCATAATTTTTCCTCCGTCGATATTAATTCTGCACTTTTTGATATCACTCGATTGGTACTTACTTTCGTATTGCCATATGTTAAAATATATATCATCAGTATTATCAACATTATTTTTCCGTCTAATGGGAAAAATGGCGCCGGTTCGAAAGGGTTGAATTGATGAAATTGTATCCCTTGTATATAATGTACCGATTGATTAGTACATCCCCCACATCCTGTTCGTAGGACCTGCAATTACGAGACATTTGTACATACATGTACATGAATGTATATACCCTTCGCCCTGTAAATATAGTACATACAACCTGTACATACAAGCACATAGCGTTGATCATCCACATTTGCAATTTTGCATACGAAAATGCAAATGCGTCTCGCTTGGTTAGAGTTGTAAATTTTTGTGGCTTTGTCGACAAGTACCTCCACCCAATAAACACAAAGTAGTGGAATTCACGTTTTATAAACGGATAAAACACGTTTTTTTTTGCAACATACTTTATACGATTACTGTCGACGGTTCTACAACATTTCTCAAGGTGTATTCCACCACTTTTTGTTTATTGGGGATGGTCACAATGACTGGAGTGACTGAAAGGGTTAATCGGGCCGCTTGTTGTAAATTTTGGCAATAGTTGATTAGGCAATGTGTTATTCTCCACAGCCCAAGAAGTCCGAGAAGGCAGAGTGGCAGACGAAGAAGTAGTTTTGCAAAAACAGCATCTGATAAGAGAATCAGAAAGATGACAAAAAACAACAACAACAACATGCATACGATTACTATATCTATAATTCAAAATTCATTTATAAGTATCCACTCACACCCGCACACAGACACGCCGATTAAATTGTACACGTGAATTAGACCCTATCAACATTTTGACAGTCCTTTGACACACCCATCAACTTTGTTAATTCCCTCTCTTCCGGAAAGAGAGATAAAGATATTGTACTCCATATTTCTCGCGTGATACGAAAAGGGAAAGGAAATGTCAAAAAACGCCTCCTCGAAATTCCCCGCGAAATTTGAATCGACTTCGCGAAAAAGGTGGGAAAAAAAGAAAAATTCATGCCATCCCGTGGAGAAGAATTTCTCCAGTTGAGATTTAGGAAACCCAATAAACGGGCGTTTTGAAAACGCGGAAACGATTTTCGGAAAACCCTTCCCCTCGCGAATACAGTGAGAAAAGGAATTCATAGAACCAAAGAAATATTCTGTCTAGGTAAAAATATTCCTTTGAATAGTGCCAATGAAATGTCTTGACAATTCAGGAAATAATTCTTTGACTCTAATAAACGCAAATAAATTGTCACAATTCCGAGGAAATTTTGCATACAATTCATTCGAGTTTATTTGAGTCACATAATGATTCCTTGAATCAAGGAAATATTTCTTTGGCACTATTTAAAATATTTCTCTGTTTCGATGGAACTTTTTCCGCGGTGTAGGATTTATCCTTTTTATCCAGTCTATTCTCATCGTCTTTCGGATTCCGAGGAAGCGACAGGATTTATATTTTTTCTTTTAATTCTATTCCTTTTTACAGCGATTGAAGGGCTCGAGATGAAGCCGTGGAGAATGTCGCTTTATTATTTACATTTATTTCATCGATCATTCTTTTTGGATACTGTGTTTTATTATTTTTTTATTACAGATAAGAGTCCGGGGTTGTGATATCACTTCTGCTTTTTATTTCTCATTTTCTACAGGCATTTCATTTACATCTCGCGTGACTACGTCACGTCGAGCCCTTCAATTTTCATCGGCATGCCAATCATTTCTCATTCTTTATCATTTATTTCTTATTCTTCATTTAACAAATCTCTTTCGATCAGCAGAATGTACTTTTCGTTCGGGGGTGGAGTGATTTTTAAACAAATGTACGCGTTTGGAGGAAAGTAAAGGGCTTCCGGGGATTTTCAAAAGGAGTCCCAGAGCTTTGAAAGGAAGTTTTCGAAAATCGATCCACCACTCGGAAGAGTAACTTCTGCAATTTGCATAATGCACTTTCTCATGCCGCTGGCCGCCTTCGTGTATGCACTGTTGCTGGTTTCTCGATGTCTCTTCCTCTATTCGCGAATCTGCATGGAAACAAAAATATCAGATTCTGTACCATCCCGGCGGAATATCGGATTACCTTTTGCGAAAAAGATCATGGAAGAGAAACCTACTGCCGCTCGTTTTTATCCAGTATATTTCCATCTCTAAATCGCGCTGCACCTAGAAAATAAAAAAACAAACTGAATTTCAATATTCCTCCCGAAGTAATATTTCTCATTATTACTGAATCTACAATATCATTTCTTCCTACTCGTGGCTAAAATATTCTCTATAGATAATATGGAAAAGTGATATTTTTCATTCCATATTCACCTCGATGTTTCCTCTCTGCGATTTATTTTCCGAATTTCTTCGCCTCGCTCGAAAATGTTCAGAAAAGATATTCATAAGTTTTGTGAAAATTCTCCGAATTTCCCAAGTACCTCGTGAATTAACGGAAATGAATGAACATTTTTCACTGGGCAAAAGTTCCTGCCGGGGAAAAAAAAAAAAATTCTCCCGAATCTTTGTCGCGATATTAACGCGGAATTAATTAATTAACGCATTAGGCATCATTAGCGGAAGATAATCGCGTAGTTCGGACGAAAATGCCATAAGAAGGTGAGGAATGGCTTGAACCGTAAATATAAACATATATATATATAAACAGATTTTCACTTTTTCACTCTTCGTGACATAATCGCAACAGCGCTTTACTCACACGAGCCTATTCTTTTTCTACTCCCTGAAACTCTTCCACATTGAGAAAAAAAAAAATGAGTTTACTGAAATAAATAAATATTGCCGACACATATACTGATGACAGAGTGACATATAATCACAAGAAATAATTATTTTATCGAAGAAAAAAGTGGTATTGATTTAAATTGTCGTCGATTTAAAATCTTTACTCAATCTGAGATTTCTTTGGACGCATTTCATCGCAGGACTTTGTCGCAATTCATATTTCTTTGAGTAAACCAAATTTTTTTCTCGGTACAATGACTTCACTCAACTCTATTCTCTTCTCTCTCTCACTCATACTCGTCCACTCACTCTCTCTCTCTCTCTTTCTCTCCTTCTCTTTTTCTCACTTTTCACGCAGATTAAGGCAGCAGCGATTTTGTTATTCTTTCAGGCCTGATCGAAATATGCGATTTTGAGCAGATTACTCAACGAGCTGATATTTATCATTTATCCCGAATTGTTACTCACATTGCGTTCATAATTTATCTATTTTATCGCGGATACTGATTTTTTCGAATTTCCACCCTGCCTCGGCTGTCAAGCTTAGCTATATGTGTCATCAATGTGTCGTCTTTTGGGATTCCAGACTAAGAAAAAAAAGTTCCATTGAACCAAAGAGATATTTCGATGACGCAAAGAATAATGATTTCACTCGAACTCGAATAAATTCCGAAGAAACGTTGCATCTTATTTCTTCGAGTCTACTTTAGTTAAAGAATTATTATTTGAATTTAGAAAATATTTCTCTGGCTTAATGAACATTTTCTTTTCTTCTAAGTGCATACACGTCTAAATGAGAATTAACTGTTCGATAAATTAAAGCCAATTCGATGTTATCGAGTCACGAAAAAATTGGCTAGCTGAGACGATAATTCTTTTATTGAGTACAACGGATTTTTTAGTCACATGAAAATTTTCAGTTTATCTCAAATTTATTGATAGTTAATATCCAGACGTGTGTGGAATCGAAAGTTGATAAATGTTTTCGTCAACGCTACTAAAAGTGCGCGCGAGGCTTCTATCAGAATTATTATGGAAATATGACATCTATTTATTATATTTATTTATTTATTTATTAAGTTTTCTCAGTTAGAGGCCCCGCGAGCGGCGTAATTACTCGTTAAGTAATTCATGCATTATTAATCACTTGTCCTTGTCTAATTTGACTAATGACATCGCTCTTTTTGCATTATGTTCGCAGAACGCGACAAAAGAAAAGGTAATCGTTTAGCAGCTCGACGTGTAGACGAGAGAATGTGTAGAATTGGATGACTTTGTTAATGCGCGATGATTTTTGCGCATGTCGAAAGGAAAATATGAAAATCTGGAATGAGAGTGGTTATAGAAAGTTAGGATGTAGATCGCATCTTTAGACTATTAAGGTGATATAGAAGTTGAATCAAAGAATCTCGTTTGTGACAACATTATATATAAGGAAGGTATTAACACTCACGAAATTTTAATTTTCAAAAAAATTAATTATGGCCACTTTCATATCACCTTAAATGATTAAGGTCGTCCAGGAGCCTGCTTGTACCTCGATTTACATCACGCTGTAGTGTGGCTTATCTTTTGACATGCAAATCATTCTTACCTTCAGCTTATCCCACAGATTTAATTATTGCCGTGATTATTTTCAGCATTTTTCTTGCCGCTCGTATGGACCCGGAAATAGATAATTAAGTGCATAAGAATTAAGGTGCAAAACGTCGGGAATTTGGCAAAAGAAATTCTTTGAAAAAAAAGAAAACATACATATTCTCTGGCAATACATATTATCGTTTTGACTTTAACTTTTCCCCAAAATTGCGAGTTTAATTAACACCGTAATTATTTTCAGCCTTTTTCTTCTCGTCCGGTTAGATCTGGAAAAAGGAAATAAAAATTAAGAAGATTAAGATAAAATTTGGAACACTCAAAAATCAAAGAATGGGGATGTAAAAAATTGTGAAACATTTTATTTACATTCTTTGGGTTCAATTAATATTGGCTCCACTTAGTCACGTTTGATCCATCATGAATGCAAGTACTGCAAGTATTTAGCGGGGAGAGTCTATGAAATTGCGAGTCAATTACCGAAGTTGAAGGGAAGGTTCTCTTGAAACTTCGTCTTATCAATGCCCCTCCAAGAGGAAGATAACTAAATCGCGGCATTTGGAGGTTCAATAATCAGAGATATTGAGCAATTATTTTCCCCCGAAAAAAAAATCCCTAAATTCCCTAGGCGACGTTTTCCACTGAGTGTTCCGTGCTTAGCGACTTGGCAGGAAGACTTGAATGGAACGGAATTCAAAATTTCGGATTTTTTCTTATTCATTTAATACCTTTCTTGAACCTTTCACATGGCCTTCATTCTTTCTGGCTCTGGCAATGAACATTTTCATTAAATGGTTATATCTCATTAAGGTGTTGGGAAAGTGGCGTCAAAGAGGTTTTAAGGTGAAGTGAAACATCCTTCAAATCAGTCGATTCGAATACAACACTTTTTCTTTAAGGGTATTAGACCAAACTGTCCGAAACTTTGACACATCACTCCTGATCATCTAAGAATTTTCCTGACACATTCAAAATTTGGATTCTTCAAAAAAATTTTTTAACTCAGTCCAGACCAGAACCAAAATGACGTCGAGCTCTCATATTTCGATCAGTATATAATTATCGAAGGCTCTGATATGAGAATCGAAAGGGTCAGGACAATTTTACGACAATTTAGAACACTCTGGTAATCGATAAACTCGCATTTGAACGGGATAAAGGCAAAAAAAGTGTTGTATGCGCTTCTTTGCTAAAACGATGGTAATACGAGGTCTCGGAGTGAAAATTTAATTGACCTGGAAATCACAGATGGCGCAGGGGGTCCCTCCGCAGTCAATTAGGGCCCCAGAAGGCATGAATCCAGAGGATTTCTGGAGTTTTACTTCGATTTCTTTATAATTATTGTACGAAAACGACAGGTGGAATATGCCATTTGGTACAATACACAATATAATTCGACCCAGCTGTCGATATAAAAACGAACGTCGGCAACGTAGGCATTTAGAAAAATCATCTTTATCGACGTTGATCAAGTTCCTCAACGTGTTTCACTTCACCTTAAGGAGGAGGAGGAATTAATATCGCTTTTTTCGTTCATCGTCAGCGGAAAAAAATGGCGAAGGAAAGATCAATTCACATGAAAATCTTCAATTCCATTCCAGTTCTCTTGCCAGGGAGCGTGTTAACCACCCGCGCGCAAGAAACCTCCATTTTTTTAAACGAACCGTTTCATCAAATATTTCTTTCGATTTGCAGAAAAAACCGGACTGGTCGAAGAAGGGAGAAGAGAAGAAGGTAAAGGAGGAAGAGGTCGAAGCATGAAAAGCCCTCCATTCACCGAAACTTCCGACCAATCAGCCCTCGAGACCGGAGTTCCAGTTGCTTTTTTAATCGACCACGTGATACCAACCCCCAATATCCAAAGAAAGAACCCCCCGAGTGCCGATTTTTCGAAACGCCCCGTACCTTCGAATTCTCACCTCACAAATCGTTTTTATATCACCACATTGAATTTACGATGCCCTGTAATTACCCCGACTGCCCCGTGTCATTAGACATTAGTATTTGTACCTCCATGACATCTGATAAAGAGTGGCGAGTTTGATCATTTTTCCAGCAATTTTTTCTCAACTGCAAAACGCGGCCATTTTGGATTTTCGTTCCTTATCCAGGTTCCGCTAAATTCGCCGCTCTTTATTGGATCCGAAATTCTGTCGCATTGTTCCCCTAGTATTTAGTATTGTATTCGATTTTCGGTATCCCGTGGTTGTCCTTTGTCTCTTCTTTGTCTCTTTGTATCGCGTAACAAGCAGATAATAACGAGTCGTTTTCATCTTTGTCTTCGAAGATGTCTTCACGTTTCCCGAAACGCGGCTCCATTTTCAAAGCGTCCGAGAGCTGAAATTGTTATATTGTAAAGCAAAGCACGTATGATAATGAAAACCTTTGTGTAAATAATCTCACCTTGCCAACCCTAGATCGACTTTTTCCTTTTTCGACGCCTCCCCCGCCAAAAATTTCGAAAGACTGTCTGCATGAATTTAAAAGAATAATAATTTAATAATTCGTACACACTCGACAAAATTTTACTATTATCAAAGATTTGACCATTATCGACGAAAGACTCTCTACGTGAATTAAAAAGGAAATATTTAATAATTCGTACACGCTCGACAAAATTTTACTATTAACACCGATGTCGGTTCTTTCGGAATTTTAGCCCTGCAAGTTGTCGATACCGAGATAAAAACATTTTCTTAATTTTGAGAACGCGACGTAACGACAGCTTTTCACTTTAGTCATCGATTAGAGTTCGTAACCACATTTTATTGTAATATATTACCCCACAATAGATTGCTACTATGTACGAAATATCCACACGGTACACACAACAGAATCAATCTTGTTCCTTTGTAAATGACATTTGTTGCCCACTTAAGGCGATGTGAAAGTGGCGTCAAAGAGGTCTCATTTAAGAGACTCTTCTCCAAACTGATAATGTCAATATTTTAAGACTTTGTTCCTAGTAATCTTTCCAATTTTTCATAAAAAATCGAATTTCACGGGTGTCGAAACCTTCCTTGTAGCTTGTATATTCGACATGTAAAGTTTGTAACGATTAGGGTACGTCCAGCTTTGAGAAAAATTTCATGAACTATTGACCTCTCAGACGCCCCTTTGATATCCCCTTAATCTCCATTTTCTCCCGTAATTTGGGTTTTTATATGTACCCTGGTGATAATGCACGACTCGCACTGTTTCCCCAGAAAGACTGGTTGTAGATATTCTCATTATGTGTAAAGAAAAAAAAAAAGAGAATGGAGATACACATTTTCATATTTCAGAGAGAGAGAGAGCCCTCTTCGCTGCTGGTACGTATTTATATAACAACGTTTGCGCTTCGAAAAAATTCCCTACTCATTTTATATCGATTATGAATTTAGCTGTTACGTGATTCTGCAATAACGCGATTCGTTCGTTTCCATGACACTCGTTGAAAGCATTGCAAATATTAGGCAACTATATCATGGGTATACTCGGTAAAATCAAATATTTCTTTGAAAGGCGCTTTTGGGTATACATGAAATTTAAATAAACATATCAGGTTTTCTTTTTACGGTAAGGCGTCACTATGGATATTTGTGTAATTGGATATTTTCTGAAGAAAATGTTGAAGTAGCTGAAGACCCGAAAATCCTACCCAATGAATTTATATTAAATTATAAATAATTACCTTTGAGTAACGATCATGAAATACGATCCCACCAAAAAGGGTATAGATGAATTTTAATTTATCGACCTCGATTAAGTTTCTTTCATATCATCTTGAGGCGTTAAAATAGCCACTCATAGTAAATCGACATTTTTTTTATCAAACTCGAAGTATCCGAAGACCGAAATTCTGCAAATAAAAAATGTAGTACGTGAGTCCAGGTTTAATATGGCTTCATAAAAGCTTACTTGGCAGAAGCTTACTTGGCAACAGTTAGGTATGATCTGAGTTGAGCCAACACGTACATTTAGTATGAAAATTGCTCCCGGAGTGCTCCAGCACTCACTTTAGAGACTCTATGTAAAGCACATACATATTAGATGCGACGTCTTCATTGGAGCCATTGTTGGGAGGCCATTACATTATGTATTGACAATTTAGACCGTTTCACCGACCCAGGAATTGAGAGGGGCAATTTGGATCATCAGATTTCGGTTCGTCAAGAGTCCCATTGTTGAATTTCCGAACTTTGCCGTTGAGAAAAATAGCAGGTCGAGATTAAAATTCATAAGAATTGCGATAAACTTGCTCCTGGGAAATAGAAGCGATAACAAAAATTAGTAAAGGAACTCGTATTACATATATCTAGGAAATAAATAATGATATAGGTTGAAGAGTTCTGGGAATGAAGGGATACGAGTAACCCTATCACTGAGAATAAATAACGTTATCTCGGTAATAAGACTAGCGTTATTACCGATAATTCCGCAATCAATACCGGAAATGTTTACTTACAAAGTCGAATGTCGATATCGGAACAAATCTCGAACACTGTGAATCGCATTCGCGATTCTTTGTCTTCACGGTAGACGGTTGTTCCTGAAAACGAAGAAAATAATAAAACGCCCTATCAACGTATTTTAATTAAGAATTCCTTGTCAGACTTTTTGAAGAGTGAGACCATTCTTTGAGATGCCCAAACGCTTGAGGACATTTTTCGAAACAGTAATTAAGAATAATTGAGAATAATTAGCTCATTGACTGCTAAGCGCTTTCGACGTATGGTCGAAATTCGTCGACCGTGCAAGCAATAATGGACCAAACGTATACACTAGTTCTTCGAAACAAACAAATTTGGTGAAGTAAACAAAAATTCGGTTCGCTCGAGCGAAACGTTTCCGAAATTAACCGAATGCAGTAAATCAAAGAATTTTGTAAAATAAACGAAATTTTCTTCATTTTTTTTTTCTGCGCGCAGTCAAACGGTTCGTAATACCCAATAATATATAATAATAGTTACTTTTAATTTAGAAGTTCCATTTATAAATGATAGTACAGTTGTGGGCCCTATTCCATAGAAATCCGTTTTTACCCGAACAACGCGGAAAGGAGCAGAAGGGAAAACGATTTCCTCGCAACGTCGTGGGGGTTGTTTTTTGTCCCGCCATTCTGCTAGTAGATCTCAATGTACACCTGGGCAGCTTACGACAATTGCAAAATACGCGTGTACTCCTGTACTTTGAGCATCGAAACGGCCATTGCGGCAATCCGGCACATCGCCATTGGCGATTTTCCGTTTCCATAGCGAAAGCGCGATGGAAACGAATTGCGCCCTCGACGCCGGTCGAACTTTATTTCAATGGAAACAGAAACGGGGAGAACACTGCTATTTTTTTTCCCCCGTCGTGGTCGGGATCACGCGATTCAAACAATCGAAGGCGATTTCGCCCATTTCCCCGGAAAACCGTTCGATCGCTTTCCCATCGTGCCTCGAATGACCGGAGGTTCGTGTTTCAGGAGCGAGATCGTGTTATGCCGGGAAACCTAATTTATAGTCGCCATGTTAACAGGATTTTCGGGTATGAGACGATCCATCGGCCCAAGAACATATTCACGGGCCTGTGGATATGGATAATTGCGCGGGAAAAATTAAAATCCTAATATGGAGAATTAAGGCAGTGCGAAAGTGCCGTCAGAGGTCTCGTGAAACTTTTCTTTGAATTGGATACACCGAATCGTTTCAGTTTCTACAACGTGAATTGGAAGGTCCTATGATGTAATTATCGATTTTTTTTAATTTGTTCGTAATCATTTTTAATATTTTTATAAACGTGAGAGTTGCTTCAAGTTTCAGAGAATTAAGGCGATGCGAAAGTGCCGTCAAAGGGGTCTCGTGAAACTTTTCTTCGAATTGGGTACGCCAAATCGTTTCAATTTTTACAACGTGAATTAGAAGGTCCTATGATGTAATTATCGATTTTTTTTAATTTGTTCGTAATCATTTTTAATATTTTTATAAACGTGAGAGTTGCTTCAAGTTTCAGAGAATTAAGGCGATGCGAAAGTGCCGTCAAAGAGGTCTCGTGAAACTTTTCTTCGAATTGGGTATTCCATATGATGAATTTCGATTTTTTTTTTAATTTGTTCATAATCACTTTTAATATTTTTATAAACGTGAGAGTTGCTTCAAGTTTCAGAGAATTAAGGCGATGCGAATGTACCGTCAAAGGGGTCTCGTGAAACTTTTCTTCGAATTGGGTACGCCGAATCGTTTCAATTTTTACAGTGTCAATTGAAAGGTCCTATGATGTAACTTCGATTTTTTTTGAATTTGTTCGTAATCATTTTTAATATTTTTATAAACGTGAGAGTTGTATCAAGTTTCAAGTCGAGATTTCAGAATGTCGACATTGAAATTACGGTTAAATTCGCGGTTTTTAAATTTGCTAACAAAGAGATCTCGTGAAACTTTTCTTCGAATTGGGTACACCGAATCGTTTCAATTTTTACAGTGTGAATTGGAAGGTCCTACGGTATAATTACGATTTTTTTTTTAATTTGTTCATAATCACTTTTAATATTTTTATAAACGCGAGAGTTGTTTCAAGTTTCAAGTCGAGATTTCAGATTATCGACATTGAAATTAGGGTTAAATTTGCCCTTTTTAAATTTGCTAACATTTATAAAATACGTCGTTTTCGGCTATTTTCGTCAATTTGAGATGCGAGGTTAGGCACTTTTCAACCGATAGTGCTATTTTCGGAATGAACAGCTTCGCGCCTTCGCGCGGCGTCAGGTTTTGTAGGTTAGGTTCCTCCAGGAACGCGTTTCGCGCTTTCCCGAAAAATTTTGTCTAATGGACTCGAAAGGCTCTCGCAGGGAAGGATCGATGTTCCGTATATCGAGTAAATGCCAACGGGGACGTGATCCGACTGGCAGTTCTGACGCGTTGCGAAGGATTTAGTAATGGCGACCGTAATTCAGGATCCGTCGTGCCGAGGACGATGGCTCGTGGCAGTTTCGCGTGTTTTATGGGCTGCACCTCGAAAAAATCCCCCGAAATGACCCATGCTCGTCGACGATTAGGCCAGATGCATCGGATGAGTATGCAAATGGGGAGTCTCGAGTAATGTCCGCGACGTGGCTTAGCTGGCATCCCGAAATTAGTTTCAAACTCGTGTTAATTACATCCCAAATTTGCGACGCGATCGGATACTTTTAAATACACGGATTCCCCAACATTTTCGCTTCTTTCAATTCTCCAACATGGTAAAGGGATATTAAATCGTATCTCAAATTTCCGATCGGGTACTTTTCCATAGACGCATTGCGTAATTTTTGTCTACTTTTTCTTTTCTCTTTCCATTTTCCAGCATGGTTACGTAATATTAAATTATATCTCAAGTACGCGACACGATCGGATACTTTTCTTTCGATTTCCAGATCTCTAAATGATTTCGAGTATGAAAATTCATGATTCTCTGAACGAGTACCCCCTCGGATCATGTAATATTAAGGTGATGTGAAAGTGGCATCGAAGAGGTTTTGTTTATTAAACTTTTCCCCCAACTCGATTTACCGAATAGGTTGAAACTTTACAACGTGAATAGGGAGACTATAAGGAAGGTCCTGAAGCTCATGAAATTTCAATTCTTTTCAAAGATGTTTATAGGCATTTTAAAAATAGTTTATAGAAAATTAAATTTCGCGAGTTTCAGAACCTACCTTAGGGTCTCCATATTCATGTTTTAAAGTATGAAACGATTTGAGACACCCAGTTCGGAGAAAAGTTTTATCAACGATTGAGCTTTTGGATGCCACTTTCACATCCCCTTAACGGCGTTCGCCACCAAGTGGGGACGATGACTTCCACCGCTAGATGGCATTGGCATCGAATTCGGTGGGAGGTAACCAAAACGTACTTTCTCGCTCGGATGAGGGAGACGCGACGCATAATGGGCAGTGTTTAGCAACGGGCGAAAAATGTGTGTGTATTTTGCACGTATACAACTCACACAACGGCTAGACGCCTCTGGACTAGGCGCCGAAACGTGTGTGACCCTCGGCCGCACGCACACGCAAGTTGGACGCTCCGCCTAGAGTCGGCAACGGTTGCTAAGGAATGCCCAAATTCCGCGCGAGAAACTTGAAAATCCTGAAAAAGGTGCTCCACGGGGACAACGATTTTGAGCGTATTTCTCAACCGATTGAGCTCAACGAGTGCTCGTTTTAAAGATAAAATGTTGACGTGTGTTTATATGGGAGCGATTTTCGATCGAGCACCTCCTTCCTAGGTAAAAGGGCATTGAAATTATGTCGTTGCACTTTTTTATATGAAAATGACCACTTATCGAAAATCGCTCCCATATAAACACAGGTCAACATTTCATCTTCGATATGAGCACTCGTTAAGCTCGATCGGTTTAGAAATACGTTCGGAATCGTTGTCCCCGTGAGGCCCTGCAAAATCGCTGGAGTGGTGAGCGCCCTTAAACAGTAATTCGAATGTCACGCGAGTGTCTTGGAAACTGATGTACCAAAATGACGGTTAATCTCGTTACGGATATTTCCCAATTTTCAAATTGATTAATAGAATCCCTATTTGTCGAGAAAAAGTGAGAAATGTCTAAAGAGCAATAGGTTCCAAGTAATGACACTTTTGGGCCCAGGAGGGTGAGGCGCCACCAGCGGCGGAGCCACCACCACCGGAACCGGCACCTCCGGCAGAACCTGCACCTCCACCGGCGCCTGAACCTGCGCCTGCGCCGGCTCCTCCACCCGCAGGTGCACCGGTTCCGGTCGGTGGTCCGCCGCCGACTGAAGTCGTCCCGCCAGCGGAAGGCGCTCCAGCACCAGCGGAAGGCGCCCCCGCCCCAGCGGAGGGAGCCGCCCCCCCTGCAGGTATTTATCTTTCTGTCATTAAATTTACCCTTATTCAAATAAAACTTTATTCTATATTTAGTATTTTATTTATCGCTCTCTTGTTAAGGTGAAGTGAAACACGTCGATTAACTTGATCAACGTCGATAAAGAAGATTTTTCTAAATGCTTACGTTGCCGACGTTCGTTTTTATATCGACAGCTATACCGAATTATATTGGGTATTGTACCAAATGGCATACTCGGCTTGTCGTTTTCGTACAATAATTATCAAGAAATCGAAGTAAAACTCTAGAAATCCTCTGGATTCATGCTTTCTGGGGCCCTAATTGACTGCAAAGGGACTCCCTGCGCCATCTGTGATTTCCAGGTCAATTAAATTTTCACTCCGACACCTCGTATTACCATCGTTTTAGCATAGAAGTGCATACAACACTTTTTTTGCCTTTATCCCGTTCAAATGCGAGTTTATCGATTACGAGAGGGTTTTAAATTGTCATAAAATTGTCCTGACCCTTTTGTTTCTGATATCAGAGCCTTCGATAATTATATACTGATCGAAATATGAGAGATCGACGCCATTTTGGTTCTGGTCTGGGCTGAGTTAAAAAATTCTTTTGAAAAATTCAAATTTTGAATGTGTCAGGAGAATTCTTAGATGATCAGGAGTGATGTGTCAAAGTTTCGGACAGTTTGGTCTAATACCTTTAAAAAAAAAGTGTTGTATTCGAATCGACTGATTTGAAGGGTGGGTGTTTCACTTCACCTTAACGCATTGTGTTTGTAGCGGTAAACCTAACCTTTTTATATTCCGAGGGTAGGAAGTTTCACGCTTAAATAGTCTCTTTGAAAACCGTCAATACGCATTCCTTTTTATGTAAATTTGTAATTAACCTGGTTTTACCCACTTTTACCTGATTTTACCTGCTTTAGAAGGTGCACCCCCAGCAGGAATACTTTTAAAAAAAAGTGTTGTGTTCGGATCGACTGATTTGAAGGGTGTTTCACTTCACCTTAACGCATTGCGTTTGTCGCATTAAACCTAACCTTTTTATATTCCGAGGGTGGGAAGTTTCACGCTTAAATGGTCTCTTTGAAAACCGGCAATACGCATTCCTTTTTATGTAAATTTGTAATTAACCTGGTTTTACCCACTTTTACCTGATTTTCCACGATTTTATCTGATTTTACCTGATTTTACCTGGTTTAGAAGGTGCACCCCCAGCAGGAATACCCTTAAAGAAAAGTGTTGCATTCGAATCGACTGATTTGAAGGGTGTTTCACTTCACCTTAACGCATTGCGTTTGTCGCATTAAACCTAACCTTTTTATATTCCGAGGGTAGGAAGTTTCACGCTTAAATAGTCTCTTTGAAAACCGGCAATACGCATTCCTTTTTATGTAAATTTGTAATTAACCTGGTTTTACCGACTTTTACCTGATTTTCCACGATTTTATATGATTTTACCTGGTTTAGAAGGTGCACCCCCAGCAGAGGGAGCCGCGCCACCGGCGGAGGGCGCCGCACCTCCCGCAGAAGGAGCTCCCGCGGCGGCTCCAGCGGAAGGAGCCGCTCCTGCGGCACCTGCGGACGGCAGTGCGCCGCCTGCGGAAGGTGCTCCCGCAGCGGCACCTGCAGAGGGCGCAGCGCCACCGGCCGAGGGCGCCCCCCCTGCGGAAGGCGCAGCCCCCGCGCCCACCGAGGGAGCTGCCCCTGCGGCTGCACCCACAGAAGGCGCCCCTGCACCTGCACCTGCAGCGGAAGGTCGGTATAAGGCCTTATGCAAAAAACTCCCCCCTACGAAAATTCCAGGAAAATTCTTGTATTTCTTGCATTTCTTTTTCGTTTTCGAATCAGGTGCACCTGCTGCCGCCCCCGCACCTGCGGAAGGCACGGCTCCTGCGGCGGCTCCCGCGGAAGGCGCGCCCCCCGCGACGGATCCTGCAGCCGCACCTCCTGCAGCCCCTGCAGCCCCTGCAGCTCCAGCCGCCGATGCACCTCCAGCAGCTGCACCTGCGCCCGAGGCGGCGGCACCGCCTTCAGAAGCTGCACCCGTCCAAGGTGCGTGAGCTGAATTTTCCGCGAAATCTGAATCTGAAATCTGAGACGAAGTGTTTGAAACGCTCTTCTTTATGGGGAACGGTAAATACTAATTTTTACCTTTTTTTTATCTTCAGCACCTGCGTCGTAACTTCCTACCTGGGAAAGATGGCGGCCCCCGAATCTCTCTACTTTCCGCTTGTCGACGTCGCAAGTTACACACACGGGACTGTCGTAAGAGTGCACCTGCGCTTCGGGTGTGCAACCGAGGCGCCAGGTACTAATCTCCATGCATGGCCAGGTGGATGGAAATGAACTCACCTGCGAACTGTACCAGGCTACTATCGCCGAGGAATGATCGATAGTGTCATCTTCGAGGCGGCTGGAGGGGACTCAGCTTCCCCGTGGACCGACGACACCGCCGCAACTATTGTTAATGCTACGAAATCATTTTCAATAAACTCGTAAAAACTAGTCGAGACAGAACCATTCGTCTGCGAAAGTTACGCCTCCCTGATTTTTACATACATTAATAAGAAAATTAAAAACACAAGCAATTAGTCTCATCCGAATAAGTTTCAAGATTTCATGTATATGTTAGGGTTCTGGCACCATCGCCGATTTCCTTTTTAACGGGGAAAGTGTTGGCTCCGAATGATCGATGATAGCAGAGGTGTTAGGTTAAAGTCCTGACATCACCGCCGATTTTTTTTTTTTTTTGTTAAGAAGTTTTAACTAAAAATGAAGAATAAAAAGGTGTTTGGCGGCGAATGACGCGGCGGCGGCAAGGAAGTCGCGCGCTGATTGGCTGCCGCGGCGGAGACCACGTGACCACTATACGCAGCGCAGAAGCCCACCGCGCAGCCGAGCTGCGAGCGCGCGCCGCGCCGACTTTGAATCGCGCTCGCGACTCTCCGCTCAGTCTCGCCCCGGCGCTCGCGGAGAGTGGATCGTTGTAGCACGCTTCGGGCTGAGCCGGTGTGGCACGTGACGAGTTGTCTAAAGAGCTGTCGAAAAGGAATAACAAACTGGCGTTTCCGTTTCTGCCACCGGGAGTGGAACGTTCGTCTTCTTTTCCTCTCCAACCCTCGTCGATCGAAAATCGATACGACGGAGAAAAACTGACGACAGAGGTGAACGGTTCAATTGCGGTGAAAATTAATAGAAAATAAATCACGGTGAAGCTCGTTCCTAGTGAGTGTTTCGTTTCTCTTCGGCTTATCGCCGATTCGAGCCGAGCAGTGCCGAGGAGGGCCGAAGATCGCCGAGGGTCGTTTTTGCGGAGCGAATTTGGAAATCGATTGAATTTCGACGCTTCACTGCCAGGTAAGGATTTATAAATTTGTGAGGGGTATTGTACGAGCTATTTATGGGAGTATCGATTTTCGCTTCGATCTGCTTTTCCTGTGGCGATTTTTCTTTTTTTATCTATCGCTCCCCCACGCGCGTGAAATCGAACGCCTGTCACACCGGTTCGCGGTCGCCGCCTATTCTTCCCGAACTACTCGAACGCTTCCGATCCCACCCGATCTCGGCCGAGCGCCGACGATCCCCGGAGCGACGCGCACTCGCGAAAAAACCTAACCTCCAAGGGGACATAACACTGACACCGTGCTCCCGTTTTATCGCCGCATACCTATCGAGCCGAAGCATTACTCTATTATCGGGAAAGGTTGGAGAGAAAATATAAACGAAAGAGAAATGAAAAAGTTTCAATAAAATGTACGGAGCGATAAAAATGGTGGATATTGAAAATACATTACGAATATCTATTCCTAGCCATAATATACTGCCGTGGGTCCGTCGTGGGCTACATCTCGCAAACGACTCGGAGAGATCGCGAGATGGTCCAAATGTGACATCCGTATTGAAATGGCACAGATAGAAGTAATTCATCTCCGGTGCAGCAGTCCCGTGGTTTGCCCTACACAGTAGTGATGGATCACCGAGTATCATAATTCAATATGCTATGCGGGATTAAGTCGTTACAAGGTCTGCATCGTAACAATCTCCCCGATGAAAATCTTCGAACGATTTTTACCTGAGAGACTCTCGACGGAATTACCTTAATCGAGCACGATGTTCTCCACAGAAGTCTTTACGGCGATATAAAAGTGGCGGAGACAAAAATAGTGTCTAAATGTTTATAAACAAATTTTCAAGGAATCATATTTCACGTTTCAATATGCGGGATTAAGTCGTTACAAGGTCTGCATCGCAACGATCTCCTCGGTGAAATTTTTCCAACGATTTTTATCTGAGAGACTCTCGACAGAATTACGTTAATCGAGCACGATGTTCTCCACAGAAGTCTTTACGGCGATATAAAAGTGGCGGAGACAAAAATAGTGTCTAAATGTTTATAAACAAATTTTCAAGGAATCATATTTCACGTTTCTATATGCGGGATTAAGTCGTTACAAGGTCTGCATCGTAACGATCTCCCCGGTGAAATTTTTCCAACGATTTTTACCTGAGAGACTCTCGACGGAATTACCTTAATCGGGCACGATGTTCTTCATTGATGTTTTCAAGTCGATATAAAAGTGGCCGGCGACAAAAAATGACTTAAATGTTAAAAAACAAATTTTTAAAGAATTATGCCTCACGAGCGTATCGACCTTCCTAGTTTCTAATTTACCGTGCAAATATGAAAGCCTTAAGGAAGGTCGTGAGATATCATTTTTGATAAAAGAGACTTTTATCAAATGGATGTAAACCGAAAACCTTAAAGAAAGATCGTCGATGCCGCCGTATTTGTTTATTTTGTTGTTGTTTAGTAAGGACCTGGGGATAATCTCATGTTTCATAATTCAGAATTAAGGCGCTACGAAATTTCTTTAGGAAAGTTAATGCGAGGTTATTAAAAAATCATCACGATTTACCGACTCCACCGGATTCAATTGATACCGTAGGCAAATACTTGAGCGTAACCTCATGTTTCATGATTCAATTCAGGATTAAGACATTACCGGAGCTGCGTTTATACCGTTGCCTCGAGACCCCCCGCAAAAACCGGCCATTTTCAAAGTAAGCGGAGACCATTAACTCGAAAGCATCGCATTAGCAATTTACCAACCCGTTTCCAGACTCCTCCGACATTCTGCAACTACGGCAAGCAATGAATTGGAAAATTGCATAACAATCCTTTGACGTCATCGTCATACTTGAGCGGAAGAGAGAAAACCGCCATATTTTTCACTTTTCCACAGTCACCAACACATTCTCATCCAAAACCTCTCCGACAGCCTTAATTTAACCGACGCACAGATTTGTCAATAATTTCGATTAACCGTAAATAATTGATTTCTTAATGATTAAAGCAATTCATTATAATTCCTTAATAATTCTTCAATTACTTCAATTCTTTAAATTTATTTTAAGTTGATACTAATGTGACTTCTGAAAAATTCGATTTGCTTGATATTTACCCACTTGAATGACGAGGCCCTAAGGGAGGTCCTTAAACTCGCAAAATTTGCTTTTCTGTGAAAGAAAGATTTTTTTTTTAAATATCTGCAAAGTAACTTTTTTTTCCCCCTAATTGAGATTTCATGATCGTCAGGGCATTCCTCCTAGCCTCTGTAATCACGTTGTACAGTTTTAAATGATTCGATACCCTTATTTCGGAGAAAAGTTTCGGATTGTCTTTTGAGATGGCACTTTCGTGTCGCCTTAAAGTCTGCCGATGGAGATATGAATTTACAATCGAAAGTGCAAGGGTTTAAAGGTCGCGAGATTAAGTTTACGAGATCTTGAGGTGGGAGGCATATGCTAGACGAGTCCGAGCGATAAACTCGTTATCAGGCGCGTTATCGTCGAGTTATTACGCGCGTTATCATCGAGTTATTGCGATCTAGACCCGGAGACCCACGTGTACATTCGGCGCGGTTGAACGAACAGCCGTTGTCATTCAAATTGACGCCATTGATGACACGAGTACTCATTCCGGATGGAATACTCGCACGTGTGCACAAAGACCGGAGTAATGCAACCGGGGATTGTGCAATGAGAGTCGCTAATGAAAAGTATTGGCCGCGATCTTGATTCCGGCGATGGTCAATTTTCGGCTCTCTTCAATTGCCTCAATGGATTCGGAATTATTATTGGAAGCCCCCCTTAACAAAAGAGTGCACCGAAGGGAGGAAAAAAAAAATGCAGGTATTTCGATTTACCAGTCGGTGGTCATAAATTGAATTTTCATTTGCGCGTTGGTGTTTCAAATCGGATTTTGAATTTTGTCGGTGCCTCGAATCGAATTTTCAATTTTCTCGGAGCTTCAAATCGAGACTCAGAATATCGAAACGGAAAGGGGTGAAAATGATTTCCTCCTTTGAGAACCGATTGCCTTTGATTTCACATGATAAACTAATGGAAGGAACTCGAATGCGAGTCATTCGATTACCAAAGTGTTCTAAATCGTTGTACAATTGTGCCCATAATTATGAAAGTGGTCTAAGTCAAAATTAAAAAAAAAAAAAAATGAGTTTATCAGTTATTTCACGCCATATTATTTCAAACGAAATTAATTCAATGTANGCGTTGGAATATAAAATGGTTATCATCTAGATGGGTATTATTATCTCGTTGGTTATTGCTACCATCTAGATGGGTATTATTATCTCGTTGGTTATTGCTACCATCTAGATGGTTATTACTATATAAATTATTATTATTATCTAAATGGTTATTACCATCTAAATGGGTATTACCATCGAAATGGGTATTATTATCTCGTTGGTTATTATTATCATCTAGGTGGTTATTACTTTCTAAATGAGTATTACTATCTCGACGGCTTTTATTATTTCAATGGTAATTATTATCTAGGTGGTTATCGTTATCTAGTTAGTTATTATTATTTCGATTCTCATTATACTATAAATAAGTTATATCGATTTAATTGGAGGAATGGACGTCGTCCGAAATTGCGGACACGATGTGCACTGTTGGGAAAAATCTCAACCGCTGTTCAATTATCCGTTACAAGGCGCACTCGAAATCCCCTAAAATGTAAATGGTCAATCTCGGGGAAATGTTTCTTTTTTTAACCCTTTCTTCCGAAATTCGGGGGACGGACATGGCTGACTGCAAGGGGTGTTGTGTGTTCCCTCCTGTGTGTCGATTAAAATATTCATGCAGGTCAGTGACGACCTCCACCTAATTGCAATGCTCCGAATTCGGCACGTAATTACAGGGTAAACTTGATCGGCTGAGCGTGCAACCCGTGTATGTAAATTACAACCTGATGAGAATTTTCAACACGGCTAGGTACTCCCTATTCATATCGCAACATCAATATGTATAGAGACGCGTTTTAACGAGCATCGAGGCGCCATTTTCTTACCCTTTAATACACAAATACCATTACAATAGAGAAACGGAACGATCGAGCTCGAACAAAGAGTTCCGCAAGAGAGGGGAAAATATTCATTCGGAATCCGGTGAAATGATTTTGCAATTTTATAAGCCAATAAACTCGTGAG